TATATATAAATTTTTTGTTTATAAATTTAAAATTAAAATTAATAAATAAATTACATAATAATTTTAATATTTTTTTTTTTTTATATTTTTTTATATTTATACTTTAAATAATTTGAATAATTTTTTATTAATTTATAAACAAAAATATGTATTTTAAAAAATTCGAAAAAGTTTTGTTACATATTATATATGAGTAGTTTTTATATATTTTACTAACTATGTATAAATATTATCTTATCGGAAAACTATATGATTCCTTTTTAATTTTCCTCAAACTATTTTTATTAAGAATAGTCTGTTTATCAGGTTGTCAAATTTTCTTTATCTTGGATTTAAATTTTGATTCTTTGGAATAGTCAACAGATTTTTTTTCCTATCAAGGTTTCCCGATTGTTAAGTCTATGTATCAAGTTATAGTCACATACTTGAAGTCTTGAAATCAGATAAAATTTTTAGTCTGTCCTTTTTCAGTGACATATAAATAGTTTAGGAATCTATTTTTCTTGTTATTAGCAAGTGATAACGTGATTTTATCAAGGATAACTCTACTCGATTTCAGATAGTAACCTGATTAAAATCTTTATATAGACTATCCTGTATTACAGAATTTTTAATTTTTAATAAAAATCTGTGAAAAACAATCAATTACCTTGATTTATACCAGTTATATTCAGAAATATTGGTTATATATAGTTAGGTTAATGAATAATTTATTAGATTCTATCTATTTTTATGATCAGGTGAATCACATTAGTCCCCTGGAGGATTTGAACTCACATCTTATGATTTGACTTATAAAGTACTAACCACAGCACTACAGACTCATAAGTCTCTTTAAATAATAAAAAATAATTATTAAATTATTAAAAAAATATTATATTCAATATATTCCATAATTTAATTTTTATAAAAATCTAGATTTCATTATAAGTTATTAATTTAAATTATTATTAAAAACAAATTGAGTTAAGATATATTTTTTAAAAATAAAGACTTCTAATAGATAACAAGTTTTCTTAAATAGTGTATTAAAAAGAAATTAAGATCAAAAATGAATAAGTTTTTTAAATAATTAAAAAAAGAAAGAATATTTCAAATAAAAATTTAAAAATATAAAATATTTTAAAAGATATTAAAATGATAATAATAATTTATAATTATTTGCAATATATTTACATAGTTTTATATTTTTTTATATTTTTTTTTCATGGTATAATTTCTATTTTAAGCTGCAGTAATGACCTGCAAGTAATGAAGTTAACAGTTGGAAGGGTCTTTATGTGAACTATTAATGAAGTGATAAATCACTCTCTAAGTTGCACTTGGAGTTTTAATAATTTTAAAATAGAGACAAGTGAGTTAGATAGAAACTTAGCTTTAGTGATATATTTTCCAATGTAAAGTATACATATGCTTAATAAAGCATATATACTTAACCTGACAGAGAGTTTTTTTAAAAAAAAAGAAGTTTTTATTTTAATATAAAAAATAATTAGTTTTTTGATAATTAAGTAATAATGAAGCAAATAATCAAAAAAATCTTTATTCAAATTACTTATAAAACTTTATATTAGTCCCATAATTAAACTTAATAATTTTAACTTAAAATAAGTTTGCTAATAAAAGAATTGATTTAGTTTAAATAATACTTATATTAAATACTAATAATAGACAAATACTATTAATCTGACTTAATAAATTATTGCAAAAAAGAAATTTTTTTAAAGGTTTTGCACTGGATTAAATGGTTATCGGCTAAATTAAATAGGCAATGCTTTTTTAAACGTGATTTTTTTTTTTAAAAAAAAAAATTAAATTCTTTTATTGATTCATATAACGCATAATAGAAGATTATTAAATTCTTTTAAATTTTGTTTTAAAGTTATCACCGATATTTAAGATTTTATGTATGGAATCAGAATCCGAAAGTTAATTTTACAATGAAGCATTCATCAATTAACATAAATAATTCAATTCTAATTGCAAACTCAATTGTCGATAAACTCTTGGATGTTGTCATTGACATCGTGGATATTAAAATATTTTAGGTTATGAATCATTCCTTCATCTCCTGAATTTTGATGGCTTTGCTAAAAAAAAAAAAAAAAAGGTTCTGGGAGATTCTTACCAACATAGGACAAATTAAATCCGATCGAACAATAGGAAACTCAATCCGGAGCCGCTCATTAACGTAAAAAACTATCGGTGTGAGAATGTGTGCATCACCTGTTTCCTAGCTCGGAACTTCCATACTAAGATTTGCACACTTCATTACGTGTATAAAAAAGGTGGCGGATGAGGGGGTTAGGTCGTGAGGTCGGTGATAATTTGATTCGTCACACATGTTCCGCGATCTTCAAGGCTTGCGGGTGATTAGTCAGAGGGTTTACTATTCACGATGAGGGGCATCGGCATCAACAGGGTCCTTGACGGCTATGGCATGCGAGTTAAAAAGAAAAAAGCAGTAAACAGAAAATCGAATAGTTAGCCTCTCTTGGGATCGTTGAAAATTTTAGTGACACGCGGAACCCGTAACACAATACATTTTGGAAGAAAGATCACGATTTGCAGTACATCTACACATTAGGAAATGTTTCACATAACAAGCACCCTGTATTCAACCTGCCGGATTCCAAATATCGAAACTGTAATTATGCGTTTCAAGGGTAAACACACATGTAAAAATCCTTAATTTGAATCAATGGGCTATCACGTTATATTTATTTATTAAGAATAATGAAGTACCAATTAGAGACTAAAGATGATAATTGCACGATAGGCCTCACCTTTCTAAATGAACTTCAGTAATTCTCAGCTTTTGGTAAGAGATACATCTACTCAGAAACAAATAAGCACATCGCACGTGCATCGTTAATATTCTCGAAGAGAAAAAAATTTTTTTCTCATCTCGCGTTTGTTTAAAAAGAGAAATCGAAAACGTATTTCATCTCATTATTACCCTGTAACTGATCTCGTAGATCGATGCAATAAACTTGTTTGCATTCGGGAAATTTTGTTTACATTCAAAGAATCGTGATTATCTCTGCCTAATTTTATTACATACCTTTAAATTAGTAAATTAAATCCCGAGTTTTTGAATTGAGTTCCTATAAAAAAAGAAGACTTTTTTTTTTTTTTATCCCTGAATAACACAGGGACAAAATCCTATAAATCTCACTATAAACTTTTGCTTTGCGTTTCTCATGTTCATGACTCCACTGAAAATTTCATGCTAATCAATGTTCAATCATTGTTGCAATGCATAATAGGGATGGCGCAGTATTCATTATTATTGACTATTCACATCTTCTTTCTTCTAACCGTCACCAACACCGTAATCACCGATGAATCAGTTAATGATAGCGCCGCTGTCACCTTAGACACGAGCGCATCTCCCACCGATTCCCCTTCTTCAATTTTATTGCCTGCCTTCATAACTACATCTTACGACGATTTTTCTAGTACTTTGTTACCTGATGGTCAAACATCATCCCAATCCTCCTCCATGCCGTCACAACCTTCCTCCTCTTTCTTCCCGCTCCCAACCGACCCCTCGGAAACGTTTCCCGGCCAACTCCTTGGCGGACCTGAGGATACGAACGATTTTCGTCTAGCCATCGCCGTCACCTACTTGATGATCATTCTCAGTGGTGTCGGTTGCATTTATATTTTCTACCGATCTTGGATGCAATGGAAACTTTCAGCGAAAAGTTTATCGATGATATTTCGGTTACCATTTTACACCGCTATCGCTGGTACGTTTTTAGCCGGAAAAATGGTGGTTGCATAGAGTAATTTGTGATAAAGATTATCATTATGTATTCAAACAGATTCGGGAATTGGGATGATAGGAACGATCAATATCGTAGGTTTAAATTTCATGTTGTCTGCGTCCTAATTCGTGTTTTACTTACCGCTTTGTAAAATATGGCATATATATATATTTATATATTTATTTATTTATAAAGCTTCATACATCAATATACGCAGCGGTTTGGTCGCAACCGACTTGTGGTGTACTAAGCGCGCTCAGTTGTTTTTTCATCTCTCTTAATTTGGCTCTTTATAGCGTTATTAGGTTTGTCTTCATTCGTATCACGTGACACGACCGACGTGCAAGTGCTTATTATTATCATTATTATATTTTATGTACATATATTTCTATGCGTAACCGCACGCGTAGCATAACCACATATCTCCGAGTGTGCCGGAAAATCTACATTGATCTTGGGAAATATGATTATAAACTGTGGTTAATGGTGTTTGTGTTTTCGGGGACTTTACAATCGATCATTGATAGCAGTTCACAGAATTACTGGTGGTTATTTATTTTATAATCGAATGTGAAGAACACATCTTCAATCCTTTGACATTACACCTATCGTGTTTTATCGAGCTTTTTCTCAACGTTAACTGTGATCCTACTAACAGGTGTTCCACAGGACACGACAACTCATTCGCACCCGTTCTTATATTCATCATGATCTCGATCATTCTCATTCTCATCATCTCCTGCTATATCGCCATCCTGAGAACACTTCTTGATGCGGCAAGAAATGGCAATGGTCATGGATCAAGTGGTTCCTATATCAGGGAGTTCCGAAGTTTCTTTAGGCGGAGTTCTGGTTTCAGCATCCGAAGTTTCAATCTTCGAAACTTTGGAAGGAGCGGTAACGCAAACAATCGAAGATGGAGAGTGCGTAGTGATATATTGAGGAGGCGAAGTGAATTGGAAAAGCGAGTATTGAATAAAGTGTTGAGTTATCTCCTCGTGTTCGTTTTACAGGTAAACAATGGATTCGTGTCGGAATATTCGTGTTCTTAAAGACCACGCATTAACATGTGCACGTATGTTTTTTTTTTTTTTTTTTTATTGCACACAGTGGTTCCCAGTACAGGTTTACGCTCTGACCAAAATATTTCAGGTAAGTTGTGCTCGATTGTTTCTACTCATTTGTGTCGTGCACAACAATTAGATGACCGATTTCCACTTGATGTTTTTGATATTCCAAAGGGTGATTCCATGTGGATTTATACTGTTTGTGTCATAGGTGAGTGACAATCGAATTGCCAAGAACTTTCTTAGTTCTTCTTTCTGTTTACACCATCTTCTCTCTGTTCCTTTTTCACCGTTGTCCACCAAAAAGGATTATATTCCGGTGGAGTAAGTAACGCGGTAACTTACGTGATGAATGAAGGCTGGATGCCACACGAAACTTCTTCCAGATGGGTGACGACGAGTGGCTTGCCATCGATCAAGAATGTGAACCCACCACCACCATCACCCTGTTACCACCAGGACGAACGACCTTCATCTCCTTTGACCTTGCAACTGCAAGACGGTGGTAATGGTGGTGGTGCCGGTGTCGGCAATTTCGAATCCATTCAACATCCCCGGGAGGTTCACATCGACAATCGTCACAGTTACCGAGATCAGAAAAAATTTAATTCTCTCCATTTAGACTCACACTCTCGTCATCAGCACGAGTCCCAACTTCTTGGAAGTAGCCCGCACAATCGTCGCAATTCACAAAAACTTCTTATTCAAGAAGTCGTGATTAATATTCTTAATAATGGAAATAATGTTAATCCCGGTTGTGTGAATTTTAATAACATTGAGAATAGTCATGGTAACAATGGTAATGCTAATGGTGGTGACGTTGGCCGAAATAGTAATATCAGTACTGACACGGCAAATCGGAATACCGCCTACGAGAGTTTTCTGTCGCTATCCATCGATACTTCGGAGATGACAATATTTGATTACAAGATCAGTGAGTTAACCAAGTTCAACGATGGTGACGATCTTGAGGTTGAAAATTTAGAGACAAGGGATGAGCACGAAGGTGAAGAGTGGAAGGACGTCATGGAAGAACTTTAAATCGGGAGGGGAGAGGATAGCGACAATGCGTAAATTTATGATATATGCTCTATTGTACTATATAAATACTGTATGTAAAACATTGCATTTAATACCTCATTATTATTTTTAACCATATTCTCGAAATTATCATTATAATAAATATCATATATACCGTATGTGAACTAAATAATTTCTTCAAGTTTGCTCTGCCTAAATTTTCGAAATTTTATGCATGCATCACCGTGCAATTTGCTTTATAAATTTCAAATTGATATAACTACAGTATATACGGTTGCTTCCAAAAGTTTAAGTCCACTTACTATGTTTTTATTATTAATTTCAATTTTGACAATTTTTAAATCCTTAACTATACAGTCAAAAATTATAAAATTTATATATATTATGTCTTAATACTTATTCT